CCCTCGAGGCAGTTACACAGTGCTTACAACTGTCTCTGGAAGTGAAAGCACCAGAAAATAAATTAACTCATACGAAGCTGTCATTCGTACGCAAGAAAGTAAGCCGAAGAGGCCGATCACCCTTAGCAGGATGCAGCGCACTCTTCATGCGTCTCGCCGAATACCTCACGGCGCTTCGCGCTTGGTGATGTGAGAGCCTGGTCCGATGAGAACCCGGCGTGCTCCGTCCCGGCTTTGTGGGGATGCGAGGTCAATGGTGTAACGACTACGGCACGCACGACAATTAGTACACCGCCCCCTCCCTCCCTCCCTCCGACCCTCTTTCCCCCCCTCTGTCTCTCTACACAGCCTCCAGAGATGGGCCTCTATTCGTAGGTGGGGTTTCCTTTGCTGATGTTTATCTCTCGATCCGGACCAATAAAAGTCACCACAAACCGTTGAGGGCATTTGCAGCCTCCCCACGGCGCACAGACCATGGTACGTACATACATTGTAGTCACTATTATAACTGCTTTTATCCACAACCAAGCGTTTTGTTAATTGCTTGATTGTTAAAGGGAGCGGCGACGGAGGTGGCGGCCTCCTTGAGGCGCGAGGGCGTGTCCGTAGACCTGGTGCTGCAGCCCCGCAAGACCAAGGCCAACTTCAAGCACGCCACCCGAGTCGGGGCGACCTACGTCGTCATGGTGGCTCCTTCCGAGTGGAAAGCCGGCAAGGTGCGGGTGGTGTACTCGTAGCCGTGCATGCCGTCGTCGTTAGTGTATGTTATTGTTTGTGTTAGGTGGGTGTGGTGGAAGACAGCTGTTGGCGTTTGTGATCTTAAGTTCAGGGCACGTCGGCATCCTCGCGCCCGCGCCTACCGTTCTTCCGTGTGCGTATGAAGATGGTGCCCACACCTCAGAAGATGCAGTGTTAACCGAGGCTTGGATTCTTACAATAGTTCCTCTTGTGGGTTACAATTGGCCGCTTTTTTTTTTTTTGCTCCCATCATTGGACTCTGTCGTCTGCCCCTCTGGCCCCTATCCTCCACTTCTACTAGCTAGACGACCCAACCGGGGTCACATAGGAGGGGGGGGCTGGACCCCCTCCTATGGTTCCTGCCTGAGGGATTTTTATCGCGAGAAGGGTACAGCAATCTCTTCCCTCGCGACTTACGAAGTCGATTATGGTTTACTAACAACGAGCTTTGCAGCGCGTCGCTTTCATCCTAGACCAGTATTTATTAGCGAGAAAAAAACTCATTCTGCCGGGACTTGAACCCTATATAGGTGTTGGTGTATGTGTGGTCGCAAATGATATTCTCAGCTCTGATATTATGTGTACTGCACCGTGCCGCCGCGCTCCCTTCGCCTTGCCCTACTCTGGGTCCTGATGATACCCGTTTCCTGCGTCTCCCACGAAGCACGTAAATACCAGCAGTGTTCTTGCCTTGTTCGCTCCCTGTGGTTTAACGCCGCCACGCCGCCACCGCCCCGCCCGGCCTCACGTCTCGATGCCAACATTTTTGTGTTGGTCAAGGTGTCGGTGAAGGATCTCCGCACGTCGGACCAGAAAGAGCTTCCGGTGGGGGAAGTGGCAAGCCACATCCTGGCTGGGGACGTGGCGATCTCGAAGGAGTAGCGGACTGCCTGATGTTTTGAATCGGGAGTTCGATGATGAATGTTCTAGATGGCTGTTTCGAGGGGGGGAGGGTGACCGGGGCCGAGCCGTTTATGCAAGGGACGGTGACATAATGTAGGCAGAGAAGGATAGGGGTCATGAAAAAGGTTCGAGCTCCGCATCAGCGAGATATGGTGGCGTTTTTCAGCTCGATATTCCCATTGCGCCTTGTGGGCGAGCTCTCGAGATTTGGTCGGACACGCAGCTCAAGATAACGTACCACGTGGGCACCACATCAGTCGCATCTTACTGCATTGCGCAGCTATTTATGTGTGGAATCGCATCAAACTGGAAGGCGTCAGAGTAGCCGAAAACAATTCAAGGCCTGCCGCATTTCACTCTACACGGCGGTTGACCCCCCTTCTCCCTCCATCTACGTCAAAAGCTAAGAGCAACGACGTGAATTGTTTCTGAGACTACGTGGAACCGACCTCGACCAAAGCACCCCTTTGTTGGTTATTTTTCTTTCGAATCGTGTTCATATGTGTTTTGTTTCGAATGTGCATGCGTTGGGTAGAAAGACACACGGAACGCGCGTCGAATCGCCAGCCACAGTGACTGCGAGGCACGGCGTACAGTCTTGCAAACCCGTCTCTATCCCCACAAAAATGAGTACAGCCGGGGGGCTATGCATTTAATGCGAACGCAGGAGTTCCGAAACTGACCGGGTACCCCAATGGTACTGGTACACACCATCTAGAACCTACTGGAGACCGAATGGTCCAAGACCCTCCGCCCCACCATATTAAGAAAAACAAAAAAGAGAAGGGATGGGAAGGCGGGACTTTTGGTACTCTGCCGCCGCCTACGCTGGGCTGCCGCTGATGTCTTTCCGTATTTTAACGTGCTCTGGAGCTTCCGCTCGCTACGCAAAATGCTACAGCGACAACGTGCCCCCGTCCACGGAATGGCACAAGAGGGCTATCATTTCTTCCACACAGGACCCCGGGTTTCCGACAAATAACGAGGCTGCACTTCGACCTTTTACAAAAAAATAGTTGATACTTTGTGTCCGGAGAAATTTCTCTCGAACCTTTCCAAACGCCCTCTCGTAGAATCAACCCCTTCTTATAGGGTGGGGCGTGCGCCGCAACGGTGCCTAAACGTCATGGTTTTTCATGAAAATGCGTGTCTGGTGCTCCCCATCCATTTAGCCCCTTGATACTTCGACGCTTGCACTTCTTGTCATTTGCTACGCTTGGTACACACACATCCGCGAAAGAATCCCGCCTTCTCAACGGCAGGCGGTTGACACCGCACACAGCAGTAGGCTGAGTCAAGCAACGCATGACGATCTCACCCATAGAACACGCCTTGCACATGATGCTGCCAAACCTTTTGTGCCGTTTGTGGTCAATCTGTAAGGACAGGTTTCCCATAGGAACCGAGGGTATTGGTGATTCTCCTAGTTGAAGGTTGTTTGACATTCAGGCACAAACACCTCGCCGTTTAACGTTCAGAGGACATGCTGAACACGAAACTAGAGCTCGTTGGTTCTCCATTGATCTGAATCAGGCTGAACCCCCGAGCGGAATCCGGCTATTTCGAGCAGCGACCGAACGTTCGTTCCCTTTCACCCCCTTTCAGCGCTATTGACAAGGCATCCGATGCAGGAACATTCGGGCATGGACAAACAACCCGGTCTGAAACGCCTATTGAGGTATAGGCGTCCGCAAGTTTCAACGGCGAGAATTCTGTCTGGGGTTCTTTGTCCCCCGGCAGTGGGAAAGTAGAAAAATATCCCGCTCATCTACGGTTTTCCCGGTTGACGTACCAAACTTCGTTCCATCGGTGACTGAAGCTTGACGCCTCGACAAGGTGGAGCTGATACTGATTCATTCATTGATCCGTCAGCCGGGTGAGTTGTTCCCGTAGGCGCGTTCGTGTTCGTCTCGCCGGTGACCGCGTCTGTGGCTACTGCCGCATCGTCCGTCTCGGTCGGGGCCACGGCATGCCCCCGGAGGGCTGGCCCGTACTTGCCCCGCCTATTTGTGCCGACTCCTCCAATCCACTTTTGGTGTTTCTGTTGCTGCTGTTGCTGCCGCTGCTGCCCGTGCTGCGAGGTGGTGTTCACCTGCCCCACATTATTACGTATTCCGCCTCCGACGGCTGGTACAACGTAACGCCTCCCTCCCTGGTCTACACTCGACGACCGCCTTCCGATCGCCGATCCCCGGCTCCGTCCGGCGTGCAGCTGTATGTTGAAGGCGTGCCAGACCAGCGGAAAAATAGCCATCTGCACACCAAACAGAATCAGCGGCACGGTTGTGCCGTACTTGCTGAGTATGCTTAACAGAAGGATGGCGTACCCCTCAAGGCTCATAAGGGCGCAGAACACCATGACCCACCGCACCTTTCTCTTGGCCGCCTGGAGTTCGCCGCCCCCTAACTCCGACTCGTCCCTTCCCTCACCACCCCACCACGATCCTCTTCTCTGAAGCCTCCCTGATGACCACTTCCTCGACAATCTTCCCCCTCCTTCCCCTGCTGATATACTGCTTCCGCGCCTCCCGCCTTCTTCGTCCGCCTCCGTACCACCCAGGACCGCAAGAACAGACTCCCTCCTGTCCTTTCCGAACACGGACTCCATCGCCCTCTTTCGCGAGTTTTGGAGAGAAGCGTCGATCGCCCGTAGCAGCGCTCTCCCGAAAATCCAGAAGGATGTGTCGGCGACGACAATCAGCATGATGAACGTCACAGCCACGAGCTTGGCGGCCGCCTGTGTGTAGTTTAGTGGCAGACGAGACACAACACCAAAATACGTACGTACGCAGTGTTTGTAAGATGCGCTGCAGCTGCTGCTGCTTGCTGCTACAATGGTTGTTTGTGGCGATCAGGGAGAGTCGAGCGTCTGAGAAATGTGCCACTTTGTCATGGCGCGAATGCACTTTCGCTGCAGCTCAACTGCTTCAGACCTACAGTAGACCTGCTTAACACGCAAAGGGCAAGGGTTCGGCTCAATGGAGCCAAACGACTGACGGACATGTATGTGCAGAAGTAGTGCGCAAATCCTTGTTGACAAGGGATGCCCTTCGGTGCCCAACCCATTGAACTTACACCAGACCAGCACTCTTGACATCAGATGGCCCGATTTTTTCGTCTCTAGAGTAGTAAGAAACTACCGCCGCGCACTCGGCAAACGTGCCAGTGCGTCACCCAACGTCAACGCTGTTCGTGTACCTCCGTGCGGCCGAGTAAGGCGAGCACCGTCGCGACGACCGGTCCTGTCGAGAGCACCAGGTATGACAACCGCTGTCCGTTTTTCTTTTCAAGCGCCGCGGAAATCCTGAGAATGGTGATGCTACCCTGCATCAGCCGGGTGTCGTTGGTGTAGATCCACATTCTGACGGTCGAAAACCCGCACACACTGACGGTTATTTGGTTGAGAATCATAACCAGGACGGAAATCTCGTGCCAGCGGGCCTCGACTAAGAGCACCAACAAGAAGTAGAAGAGGCTGATGGCGGCGTTGGCAACCGCCGTGACGTGCATGCTCTTGCGGCAGCACTCTGCAGGCGCGGTTGATACCGAAAACTGCTGGGCGTGAAATTTCAGCTGGTGGATATAATATTGATGGTAGCGTCATCATCGCAGTCGCCGCCGTTGTCGTCGCCGTCACCGTATCACACGTGTTTGCCGCAGTTTGGCATGACAGGAGTGAAAAGGAGGGAACGGGAGAGGGTCGCGTAAGGAAGACTTTCTCGATAGGCAATCATTGGTTGTGGATCCATTTTTCGGCGGTAATTGATTCTGTAGGGTGCCTGCGCAAACCAACTTCGAAGGAATAGATTTCAGCACAATGGGAAAGATGAAGGCAAGATCCACTTGTTGGAACATTGGTAACCGGTGGAGAGCTATCCCCCAACAAAACAGGGTGGGAGCTTGGTTGGCGTGCGTAGGGAAGATACTAGGTCTTTGTTTCTTCCAGGCGTAGCCAGTCTTGCTACCTGTGCACAGCTGTGAGTACATATATCATGTTATATAAACTAGTCTAACAGGATTGCGATCGTGTCGTGACACATTCTTTCTGCTAGGGTGGAATATAGACTATATAGACTAATATTATGTAGACTAGTCTATGTTAGCTTGAGAGTTTTTTAGCTTTCTTTGCGTAAAGACCGGAAAACTAGCGTATCTGTGCGGCGTCGGCTCATGAGATACCTCCTGCGGCCGGACGAAGGGAATTTGAACGCGACGCCACCTCGCCTTCATCTGTCGCACGCATTGGTTGCAGCTGCCGACGTACAGGGCGACAAATAAAGGTACCTGCCCCTGTATCCATCTCAGCTATCACCCACACCACAGCGAGCGGTCCACGACAATGGTATACAAAGAGGTGTTCAACCGCTGTAGACAAAATCATCCAGATACTGCTGAACGTTGCTGCTGTAGCTTGCAGTGGCTCCGCGCGCTCAACAATGACACGCGACCTTGTGCCAACCTCACTGGCATGCGTTCGTTGCTGCTGCCAAACTACACCGCACATGTTACGTGTGTCTCGTGCTTGGTGCTACCCACATAGTCTAGATAGCTACCACACAGGTTTTCAGAAAGGTGTTCTACTGCAACAAATATTTCAAAAACTGCTGGATTTTGCTGCTGTTGCGTGCAGTGATGTCCCCCAACAGTACTTGCTCGGCGCTGCTTCGTTATACACGAACAACTTCTTGTGCCAACACGCTCCTCCTGCTGCCAGCTGTCCATTTGCTCTTTGCCTCTGTGTACGTTCCATGTCCACAATAATATTTCGTTCTTTTCTTCGACGGAAACTTAGAATACCTAAAACTCCCACTGAATTTGAAGAAACATCCTGTGTTCAGAATGTTCTCCAGTCGAACGGTGAACCTCCTTCCATGCCGTCGCCAGTCCCTGGGACTCGACACTGCTACCCTATACGCTTTCGTGGGTGCCATTTCGTGCACTTGCACGCATCCTCCCACCGTTTGTGGATCATGACGGGCACACTTCTTCCCACCCATTAATGAGCCGAGCGGTAGCGTTTGGGATGATATTGCCAACGAGCGACGGAAGAACGTCAGGAACGCCAGGGACCGGAAGTATCGGACAACCCAAGCCACGGTCATCCACTCATTACCCCACACGTGGGGCCTCAACGCTTTGTCTTACGTGTTCAATTCGTTTCGTTTTTATGCGTTCTACAAGCTTTCCTTTATAGTGCATCTGGGATACGACTTTCTTCACGTTGCCGTCCTCACCCTACGTTGGGGGTTCCTGCTTTCTTGCGGGGGAGCTCCTTCATTGTTTCAAAGCTGCTGCATTATTTGCACTTCGGACTTCGCTTTCGATCGTCCAGTCGTGACAATTTCATCTTCTCCTTTCCATTTCGGCTTTCTTTCGGTTCGTGAAGGTGGTGCGTTCGGGGGGGGCGTACTCTTATGTTTTGGATGCCTCAGCGGTTAGCCCATTGACAACGCGTCCTCGAGAGGACGGAGCCTTGTTCCCACAGGGCCGATCACCGATGGCCAATCGTTCCTTTCTACTTTGCCAAAGGTGGTTCAATAATGTCTTCCCTGGTCTGTCTATCCCAACGATATCCCTTCCCGCCCTTTCAACCCACCTCCTATGCCCCAGTACAGCTACCGTCCTTTCCGCTCTATTCCATGCCTCAAACATCTCCCTGTACGACCCATCTATTTTTCCCAGCTCAGTCACGTACACTTCCTTCTCCTTCTTGTACGACGGACATTCCGCGACTACATGAACACGGTCTTCGCATTCAAAGCCGCAANGTTTTTCCTAGCTCAGTCATGTACACTTCCCTCTCCTCTTCGTACCACTGACATTCCGCGACTACATGAACACAGTCTTCGCATTCGAAGCCGCAATCACATTTGAACTCGTCGTCTTCCTCGTCTACCGTCCTATGTCTTCGTCGACGTTCTCGAAGGCCTATGTCCCCGGTCCTGAATTTGACCTTAAGCTTTGTTCCTGCATCCATTGGTCNCGTCGTCTTCGTCGTCTACCGTCCTATTTGTTCGTCGACGTTCTCGAAGGCCTATGTCCCCGGTCCTGAATTCGACCTTGAGCTTTGTCCCTGCATCTGTTGGTCCATGCAGGTAATCCTTGAACCCTATTCCTTCTTTCAAAATTCCTTACACTTCTGGACCCTCCGTATCCTCGGTTTCTTTCCTCAGATTCTGTTCTTCTCTCTCGGCACAAGCAACAGATATCTTCTCCTTGAACCCCTGTAGACCCTCCGTTTCCAGCGTTTCATCTTCGTCGATGTCGAGCCCCTTCCATACGTCCTCTACAACCTTGACCCATTCCGTGGGTTGTCTACCCCTCTTTTTGTTTGCCCACTTCGCCTCCCATACAATTCTCGGCAACCTCTCCTCTCCCATCCCGCACATGCGATACTGCCAGGTCAGCTTCCTCGCGTCTCTTCCCGACCGTAGGGATTGGATCCCCAATTCTGCCCTCACGGCTGCATTACTTGTGCGCGTGGAGCATCCTAGGATGATTTTCGCTGCTTTCATCTGCGCCGCCTCGAGTTCTTTCACTACCTTCTTATTTCCTTCCCATACTTCTCCGGCGTACTCTAGCGGCGGTACGATTACGCTCTTCAAAACCGTCAATTTGATGCGTGTATCGAGGTGCCGGTTTGCGAGTATTGGGTGCAGCTTCCCTGCTCGTGCTTTGCCCTTTTCCGCTACCTTGGACATGTGTGCATTCCACGAGCAGTCTTTTGCGATCTCTACTCCGAGGTATGTGTACTGGTCCACTACTGCAATCTCCTCGATCCCCCACTTCCATCTATGTTCTACTGGTTCCTCCTTGTTCTCGTTGCAAACCATGACGGCACTCTTCTGAACGTTGGCAGACAATCTCCACTTATCAGTAAACTTCTTCGCCGCGTCAATTTGCAGTTGCAGTCCCTCAGGGGTGTCCGACATACCGACAAAATCATCCGCAAACAGCATTCCTGAAACCGACGTTTCCGTGTCCCCTACTTTTACTCCCTTCCGGACTGCCTCTACGACTTCCAACAGATCGTTGATGAACACCTGGAACAATGTTGGGGACAGCGTGCAACCTTGTGGGACCCCCTGCTCAATGTCGAAGAATTTAGACAGTTCTCCGTCTATAACATGACCGCGCTTTTCGTACACTCTGGTCATCTTCTTCATTCAGCGCTCTCCACATTTTCCCCTTGATCCCGTACTTGGACAGCTGTTTCCACAACCCATTTCTCCATACGGTGTCGTATGCCTTTTTCACGTCCAGGAAGAAGCAGTACGTCGGCTTTCCCGCCCTCTTTCTACCTTGGATGATTCTCCCTACCGTGAANAAAACCTAGCGGGAAGTAACGACGGTCGCCGACTTTCTTCAGACGGTGGGAGGATGCCTTTTCCGCTAGGATTTTTACATGCGAGTGTTTTTTCTCCTTTCACGCACAAGCTCTTTTCTCTTTTTTTTCGTTTCGAATCAGAAAATAAAGAAAGTGCACAAGTCGGGATTCGAACTCTCGATATGTCCTAGACGACGACACATGTTAAGGAGGTAGACCACTCAGCCACCCGGCAAAAGGTTTACCATCTACTACCTGGCTGAGACAGAACCTCATAACACGTCGGCTTTCCCGCCCTCTTTCTATCTTGGATGATTCTCCCTACCGTGAACACGTGGTCTACGCACCCCCTCTTCTTGCGGAAACCTGCCTGGCCCTCACTAATGCTATGTTCCTTCTCCAATACTCCCACTATCCTATCGTTCAGCAGCTTACAGAACACTTTTCCTACTGTGTTCAACAGTGTGATCCCCCTGTAGTTTCCTGGGTCAGTCTTGTCTCCTTTCTTAAACAAGTTCACAACCACTCCTTCCCTCCATCTACTTGGCGTATACTCGTTTTTCCACACCCAATTGTATAGCAGTACCATCAGCTGGATCATCCCCTTCCCCCCAAACTTCATGAACTCGTTGACTATCCCATCCGCTCCTGCTGCTTTGTGGCACTTCAGCTTGTTCACACACGCCTCAACCTCGTCCTCAGTGAACTCATTTTCTAGTTCTAAGTTCACAACGTCAGCCTTCGATGTCTCTTCTTCTTTTTGGGCCCATGCGTCCACCTCCTCCTTAAAC